TTGTCTTTTCTTCTATTCTTCTTTGATTTGCTTGGTTTTATGTGGGCGGTGTTGTTGTTCGGTATATGGTGTTGGTTGTGATACCCCTTGTTATATGCTATCTTCTTACTCAGTTTACATTCATTTTTCATCCTGCCACGAGGCAAAATTACTTACTCGAATTTATACTGTCTAATATATACATTATCATAACTCATATCACATCGCACATCATCAGTTATCCGACCCCACTACTTCCCATCCTCATACCGTCTCCACCCCCTCCCATCCTCCTCCTCCCGACGATAAAACCCCCCAGGCGGATACGGATCATGGTCCGGCCCATCATAAGGCGCCTCATCCGGCAACGGCGGCAGGGGATTCACCCGTAGTCGCTGCGGTCTATCAATAGATGTCGTCGGTCTGTGTCGATACTCCGGTGACCAGTCGTCGCTCTCGCTGGAGTCTATTCGGTCGAGTTTCTCGATATATGTCTCTTCGCGCGAGTCACGCGAGTCACCACGTACTAAACCCAGGCGCTCTTCTTCTGAGTCTTTGGGCTCCTGGTGATGGCGGCGGAGGAAGCCGCGCGGGGAGGAGGATTTGGGGGATAGGGCGTCTTGGGGATCGGTGCTGCTGTTGCTGCTGCCGCCTTTGAGGCGGTGGGGCATGTTGAATGAGAATTGGCGTTTTGTGTGTGGGGATGGGTCTGGCTCGCTTGTTGTTGTTGTTGTGGTGGTGGTGGAGGCGCCGCGGTAGCTGGTGTCGACTATTGGTTTCTCGTTCTCCTTCTCCTCTTGGATGGGCTGCCACGGGTGGTGGACGATGCTGGAGGTGCGCGTGCGCGCGCGGATTTCCTCGAGGAAGGAGTTTCCGCTGTGTGTGGTGCTCGGGCGATCGTCTTCGTCTGGGAATCGCGACATGCCTAGTGGTGGAAGTGGGCTCTTGAGAGACGGTGTGCGCGTGCTCGTCGTTCGGAAGGTGGCAGATCGAGCCATGGTCGGGCCGTCGCCGAGGACGGTCTTGCGCCGGCGCAGGCCGTCCCACTCTATTACCTCGTTCTCGGCGGGTTGCTTTTGGTCTTCGCACCGGTCGCGGAAGTATCGTCTTGCTTCTTCGGCTTCCATCGTGCGTCTCTGCGTCGAGAACCGTCGGACGATGGCCGCTGCGCCGCGGATGGAGTCCGCTTTGGGCTCTGATTCGGGCTCCTCTTGTGTGACGACTTCGCGGATCTGGTTGAGGTCGCCTTTGAAGACTGCTGCGTCGGGGACGTCTTTGGCGGACTTGGACACTTGGAGGAGGACTACGCCGGCGCAGATCTGCAGGAACCCTAAGACGACCGTCGCGATCTCCATGCCGGATCCCTTGAAGCCTTGGAAGAGGATGGCGGATGTCGCGATCGTGGCGCTCGTGAAGAAGACGTAGTAGGTGGGGGTGACCAGGGCGGCGTTGAAGATGTTCAGGGCTTTCTGCTGGGGTCAGAACACGGTTGGTTAGAAGGGAAGAAGGAAAGGATGAGGACGTACGTTGAGGTAGATAATCTCCGTCAACAACGTAGCGATGACGAACACCAGCAGCACGTAGAGAAACCACTCCTTGAACTGCGACTCGCCGTTGATCTGCGCCAGGATGGCGGCTCCCAAACCCTGCGTCGCGACGACGCTCAACCCGCCGACGAGACTGCAGATGCTGATGTAGACGAACATGCTCTTCTTGCCGTATCGCGGCCCCACCCACAGCGCCGTGAACGTCGACCCGACCACGATGATCCCCGCGTAGGTCAGAAACCCCGGGGCGATAACAAAGTGCTTCATATCCTGGATATTACCGACAGACGACTGCTCAGGGGCATTCAGCGCGATGACAACCGACCCAAGAATGCACGTGAAGCATCCAACTTTACCCACGAAACTCAGCCGCTCCTTCAGAAAGATAGCAGACAAGATAGTCGTAACGACGACAGACAGCGCGCCCAGCGGCGTCACAAGGATCGCATCGACAAAAGCGTAAGCGACAAAGTTACAAATCTCCCCGACGATCATGAGCGTCATGCCCAGCCACCACCAGAAGTTCTTGAGATACCCGTACCCCTCGCCCGCTTCCTCGTTGTATTTGACGTTGGCCTTGAGCAGGCCGATTTTCTTGATCACGAACGAGACGCCGATGAAGAGACCGGATGCGACGGCGAGGCTGATGCCGATGGCTTTGTAGGAGGCGGGGCGGCCGCTCTCTTCGCCGGAGCGGGCCTCGAGGGCCGCGTGGGCCATCGAACTGGGGAAATTCATCGGTGTCGCATGAACTGCCAGAGCGTGTGTATGTCGTAGGAGAGTGTGATTATAAAGTTCGAGACAGACAGCGAGACATGAGACAGGCGATCGAGGAAAGCACGGCGGAAGAGGGGATGCAGGATAAACGCCGCGTGGTTTCAGGAATGTCGGAGATCTTTTTAAGCTCGGCGGCTCGACACGTGGGGGAGAAAAAGGGGGAATGACAGTTTCTAGATGTCCACTACTTAATACACATAGATTGACCGGTTAATTTACGAAGGAGAACATTCTGTTCAAATAAATGAACTCATATTATTGATAGAGAAAGCGGAAAACAAGCCAAGGCCAAGAAATGCAGAAGGCTGGAAGATTGTCAGACCCACCGCCGATCCCACGCATCGAGATCCTCTAGACCGTATCGTAATTTTTCGAAGGCTGATCAGTGGTGAGATTTCTCCTCCATCTGGTCAACTAATTCATCTGAATATTATATTGCCACAATCCTGTCATTTCCTTTGTGTTGAATCCTGAACCGGTGGGTATCTCTGTCCATTCTCCCACGTCCTGACAATCAGAACCATGGAACTCACAACGCAATAAAGGAGATAAAAATAAAAATAGAAGTAGAACAAAAGACAGAAGGGATTAGAAAGGGAAGCATGAAGAGAAAAAGAAACATGTCCACATTGCTCATTATACAAGTCTCAAAATACATACAGGCATTCCACAAACCCCCCGCGCTATGAAAGACAAAGTAGAAAATGGTCATGTTCCGTCATGAGTCAATCCATCGTGGCATGCTTGATAGAAAGAAAAGAAAGAAATTAAATGAATAACAATAATTATCGCACGTGGTAACTGGGCTTGCGCTGTCGGTTCACCACCGGCGGTGGTTCATCCACCGGGTACGGCGGCCGAATCTTTCCAGTCGACCCACGTCCGGGGCTCTTCCGCACCTCGAGCGGCATGGGCATCGGAATCCCGCCCAGTTCACTGGGCTGGCTGGCGTCGGGATACGGAATCGGCGTCTTGGGCGGCACCGGGGGTGGCATCCCCCCATATTCTGAACTCACCCGCGGCGACGGATACGGCTGCTGTCGCGACCCCGGTCGGCTGGCATCGCTGGGGGCCAGGCTCCCCCCATCGCTCCCTGACCTGCGGCTATGGGAGATTCCGACCGTATCCTGCGGGGTGGGATGGACCGGCAGATAGTCCTCTCCTGGCGGCGGCGGCGGCGGTCCCGAAGGCGCCATTGGTACAAAGTCGCCGGGCAACTCGGCCGGCAGTTCCACGGCGTCGGGATAGGAGGTCTGGGGCGGCGAGACGGAGACGGCCGGGCGCGAGAAGAGTCCCATCTCCTCCTGGGGCGTGGCCAGGTACTCGTTCTCGGGCTCGGCGGCCATGCTGTCCCGGGCGGCCAGGCGACGGTGCATGCGCTCAATTTTGGCAAACTTGACGCCCGCGTCCAGGATTTGCCGCTTGACATCCGGTTTGGTCAGATACCGTCGCGTGTTGGTGCTGATGTCGACCAGTCGGTTCCACTCGTTCATGCCGAATTCGCCCACGCCCACTTCCACGTTCAGCCGGTAGTAGTTGTCCTTGCTCACGTTGCGCTTCGCGAGATGGTCGCGCAGCATTTCCATGTGGATATCCTCGCACCCCTCGATCTTGTTGATCAACCGTCGACGGGCCTCGGCAAAGGTGCCCAGGGCGTCGCCGAAGAAATCCTCCCACCACTCGTGTTGTCGGTTGTTGGTGCCCGACGGACGACGACCCGTACCGATACTGACGAAGACGCCAATCTCGCGACCCGGCCACTCGTTCACGGCCGCCTCGTCCAGGACCTGCGGGGAGGGGTTGTAGGTGCCGACGCCCTCATCGATGAAGACGTGCTGGCCGATCTGGATCGGTTTGAAAGCGAGTCCGGTGGCTGCGGTGGCGCGACCGGCCTGCCAGACCGTGCAGTTGAACTCGGGCGGGGGTTCTCTCCGGGAGTCGTATGACCGCAGGAGGACGGTGGAGTTGCTTCGCGTGGTGCCTTTGTACAACGCTGTGACCGCACTATACCGACGGTTTAATGGTTAGTGGGCAGTGTGACAATTGAGGGTTAGAAAGAAGTTTCTAGACTCACGTCTTGGTTCGAGATTCTCGGTGGTCGTACAGCAAGGCATCGGGATTACCCCAGCGGAGACCGTTGATGAAAGTAGAACCCCGGTGACTGGTCGGAGTGGACGGATGGGAGTTGCTGGAGGTGCTGAAACTGGCGCGACTCACCGATCGTTGGAGGACGGAGTTGGGGCTGTAGGGGGCACTGGCCATGGAGTGGCGGTTCGACGCGGGACTGGTCTGGTCGTTCCCCTCGGCCTCGAAGACGGTGTGTTCACGGACGCACTCGCGAATGGCCTCTTCCAACCGGGATGCTTTGAACAAAGTCGAGCGATAGGGGATTCCCGCGATGGTCTTGTCCGTCTCGAAGACTCGGCGGGTCATGCGCACGTAAACCTCCTTGCATGTTTCGAGGTCCAGGCGTAACCGGCCCAGCATGAGGGCGATCAGGCCGCCAGTGCCGGTGCCGACGATCAGGTCAAAGTAGTCGCATGGTTTGGGGATTTCTTCGCGACGGGGCGCTTTACCCTCACATTCGACGTAGACGCGGTACATGAGTTCTTGTAAGATGATGAGCATGGAGTAACCTCGAACGCCACCACCGTCTAAAAAGGTAAAAAAAAAATCGACTTGTCAGCTTTTTAATCTCACGTGGGGGGGAGCCCGGGGGAGGGGGGGAAGGGCGCAAGTATGCCTATCTAGAAAACCTACCTAGCGACAGGATCCGCAAAGGCGGACCCTTGGTGGTGTCCTTGCGGCGCAAGTTCACCGAGTCCATGGTGTTTTGATCGCCTCGAGGGCGGGCAGCTGCCTAATAGAGGGAGATGTAGATAGGTCGGGGCCTGATCGGGGCGGTAATAGCGGGGTTCAGGGTATTGACAGAGGGGGGGGGGGGGGGGGGGGGGGGGGGGGGGGGGGGGGGGGGGGGGGGGGGGAGGGAGGATGTCAGAGAAGTCGTGAGAGACAGGAGAAAGAATGGAAGGAATGGAAGAATGAAAGACAAAGGGTTCTTTCTCTTTTTTTTCCCTTTTAGTCCGGGCGACAAGGATGATGACGAAAGGGTCAGGAAGATCGAGGAAAAGAAGGAATGAAGAAGAAGTCAAAGAGTCGCAGGTGAACTAGCCGAACGGATGACTACAACCCTTGGGTACTTAGTGAAGCCGGGTAGGGCGGACAAATCCGAGTCTAAGATTCTTTCTTTTGATTTGATTTCACTCTTCTTCTTGAATAATTGGAAGTATCTGAGGATCTGATTTGATGAAAGCAAAGATAATTCCATCAACCTTGGGTTTCCTGCTGAAAGGTGGGTCTGACTGTGGCGGTGGGAGTTCTTACTGTGTCTCCTCGTTGGGCTGCGTCATTGAGGCGGTGCTACCTCTGCCCGGTCGGTGGTTGGTTGATTCTCTCGGAATACGAATTACGACGATGCACATCAGTCAGGACAAGAGTCATGTTGGAGGATTGACATTCCCAACAGTCTTAGAGTCTGAAGAGGCTGGAGAGGTGAACCGGTGGGTGGTTTTTATGGTCAACTGTGGATCCCACGTTGACATCCACGGGTCTGTCCAGGAACAATCATGGGGACAGAAATAGAACGGCCATGCCCTTGGTTCAAGCAAACAGAGCCATGTGCCACTACATATATACAATCTTTTGAGATCGCAGTGGTTCAAGAATCGAGGACATCATCATGATCAGCTCGCACTACGTTCCACGGTCGATCGAAATTTTCTATCTCATCTCGCGAAGACGAAGACGAAGGCTCAGATTCAGACTCAGATTCAGATCGGTCGGCTGTGCCTCTTCTCCGGATCGAAAGGAAATACGGGATATCCGTAGTATCGGAGGAACCAGCCTAATATGACAATCGATCAAACAGTCTGTTAGGCTGGTGGGCTGGAAGCCCTACGGATAGAGCACAATGGAGCTAATGGAGCACAGTGAAGACCCGGAGACATAATTTGCATCGATCTTATCCAGGAGATACATCCAGTGATACAAAACTTGTTTATCTCATTCCCCGTCCTCCCTGAAAGTGGGTCCCACGGAAGGCTCTGTCTTGCTCGTTCTTCGAGGGATGGCAAAAAAGCAAGGTGCCTAATGCTAGGGATCCCTCGGGCAGAAATCGTCACGAGCCCCTTGGTCGGGACGTGCCCTCAGTCCTCTCCGAAGTCCTTTTCTACGGAGTACCCCATATCAACCACCGGAATGTGTCTAGAAAACATTCCTGACCACGAGGCTGTCACCGGAAAGGAAAGTATTCCACCAGAATGGCGATCAAGAGGACGTTGAAAGTCTAGACTGTCAGATGGACCCCAGTCGGACGCAAAGCAGCAGCTGGATTCACCGACCCGCGAGATACAGGAGAGAAAAACCAAGACCGACCACCTCGTTAGTGCGGAGGACTATACCTGACTGAGTATAGTAATCTTATTATTGTCTCACTTGTCCTGGTCCTGGTTCTTGTGCTTTGTGCCTTGCAGTCGCACGGCACGACTGATGAGTTTTTCTGCAACTCGCCAGTCGCAATTTGAGTTGTTGGATAAACACGTCAAATGGGATATACATTGATTTTCGGAGAAAACGTAGAAATTTACTTTCGTGTACTCTGTATAATGCAGTCGAATCTCCTAGATCATGCACACGTAGGGTAGGGGATTCCAACCTGCAGGACAATTCATTATGCAGAGGGAAAAGGGGGGTGCGTGGGGAATATAAACGAGTGCGTGTGTTTAGTTCTACCCACAGTAAATGGGCCCCAGATGGATAATGGAACGGTAAATCCACAGTAATCTGGTATCACCACGAAATGACGATCATCGCGACGGCCGAACCAGCAGTTGCAGGAAGTCCGTGTTTCTCAATGATTGGAGTGGAAATCCAGCTAATCAAACTAATAATTCTCGAGACTAACGACGGGCTAATCAAAATCAAAACTAAAAAACAAAAACTCAGAGTTAACTAAAGGATGGGGGACTCTCAGAGAAGTTTAGCCCAGGTACCCCGTCCGACCCTATATCCTCTCTTCTCTCCCCTCCTTTTCTTTCCCTTCTTCTTCTTCTCTTTTCTTCTTCATCACCGTCGTTTTTACCTTCTGTCAATCAATTCCACTCCCCGGTCCTTGTGCCGAGTACATTCTTTCTTTACCACTCGTGGTTGATTCCAGTCGTTCTTTCTCACCAACTTACACTTCCACTTACGCTTCACGTCCGATTTCTCGCCTTCTACTCTATAATAATTCACTTATCACGAATATATTATACCTTCAACATGCGTCTCTCTTTCGCCGCTGTCTTTGCCGCCGTCGTGGCCGGTGTCGTCGCCACTGAGCCCGCCGAGGATGTTTCCACCGTCATGGTCACCGAAACCACCACCTACTGCCCGTCCAGCTCCGCTGCCGCCGTCACCAGCACGCCTGCTGTATGTATATCATACCCTACACTTGGTATCCAGTATACTAACAAGATAGTCCGAGGAAATCACCACGAGCAACGGCCTCCCCTACACCGTCACCCGCCCCATGATCACCTCCACCATCACCCACTGCAACAAGTGGTATGTGTCCCCCCCATCCAAACACACCCCTCCACATCAAATCATCAAACTAACATGATACAGCTCCAGCACCGCCATCCCCAGCCCCAGCAAGACCCCCATCAAGTACCCCATCCTCCCCCCCTCCTCGACTCCCCTGTCGTCCACCCCCGGCGTCAACCCCACCGGCTCCGCCACCACCCCCGCCGCTCCCATCTTCACCGGTGGTGCCTCGCGCGCCGCCGCGGGCGCCGGCGCCGGTCTGGCCACCGTCTTCGGTCTCGTCGCTTATCTGCTCTAAGCCTCCGCTCCTTTAGTGGATGTGGGCGTGTGAATTGCAGTATATGACCTCGTTCCGTTGATTGATTTTGATTGCCTTGGCTTGACTTGATTCTTGTGTTGTTGTTTCGCTGCGAGTATGGGTCTCGATTTTTTTATTTATTTGTTGGATTATTTAATGGGTTGCTGTTGTTGCTGTTGCTATTTGTTGCTTGGGTGATGATGATTGATCATCTGCTTGACGCTTTCTCTGACTGTCCCTTTTCCTATGACCTTGCTCATTACGGGATGGAAAAGAAAGAAAAGAGAGGAGAAAAAGAAAAGAGAAATCACTTATCCTATACGCGACTCCGATACCACTACTACCTACCTACTTACTACTTACTACTTACTACTTTCCTACTTACATATATATTACTTTTACGATCTTCGACATATCCCTCTTGTTCTACTTATTTATCTATATATCGAGCTATTTATATATCACTACTACTACTACTACTACTACTACTACTACTACTACTATCTTATCGCATTTGACTCGATCACTTCTTCGCCGAGGGTTTTTGACTTCCAATTTTTGTATGTTGGTTGAACTTGGGTCGCATTTGCAACTGCTTCAAAACGTTCAGACTTAATTATCCATGCATACATGATAGCTACATTGATTTCTTATTATGTAGCTTTCGCTTGATTTCTTAATTTACTTAGTGTTTCTTATGCAATGCTGAGTTGACTTTATCGATACTCAAATTAGTTCTTACTTTAGATATCCACCACACCCATACATCTCTCTACTCCCCTATCCCACACATCTCCTCCAGCCCACCCAGTATAGCATGGTCATCTAAAGCTTCGCCAAACCGGCACTCTTCTTCTCAAAAAACTCCCTCACCAACCCCCTCGCAACCTCCACCACCTCCCCATCCTCAACAGTAGGAGGCACCCCCACGGGCGCATCATACTTCCCCTGCACGCCATTCTCCACCAACTCGCGCAGCACCCGGCGAAGGGTCTTCCCGCTGCGCGTCTTGGGGATCATGCCCCGTCCTTGGATGATGCCTCCCAAGGAGGCGATCGCCCCGATCTGCTCGCGCACGAGCCCGTTCACTTCGCGGAAGAATTCTGCGGACGGTGTTGCCGGGAGGGGGCCCGTGCCGCTTCGGGGCTGGATGAATGCGAAGGGGAGGTGGCCTTTGAGCGGGTCGGGGATGCCGACTACGCTGGCTTCGCCGATGGAGGGGTGTGAGAGGATGGCTTGTTCGATTGCTCCTTTTTGTGATATATTAGTAGGGTTTGGTTGATAGGAAAGATGGGGAAAGGTAGGTATGGTGAGACAAATATGAATGGGAGGGAGAAAAGAAGAGAAGCATACCCGTGCTGAACCGATGCGCAGCTACATTGATTATATCGTCAGACCGCGCCATGATATGAATATACCCTTCGTCGTCAATCATCCCCGCATCGCCCGTGTCAACCCATCGTCCATCAAACCGCTTGAGATAACTCCGGTAGAACCGCTCGTCGTCATTGAACAGCCCTGTAAACGCGGACGGTGCCAGCGGCACCGCCATGACTATGTTGCCCATCGTTCCCCGCGGAAGCTCCTCCCCTTCGTCGCTCACAATCCGGACGTCGAACCCGGGCATAGGCAGACCCGCCGAGCCCGGTCGGATTGCCAGTGGTTTGACCGGATTGGCGTCGACAGCTTGTTGCTGCGCGACGCCCAGAGCGCTTCTCAGCGCTAGCCCCGAAATCGGAGACCCTGACTCGGACGACCACCAGTTGTCGATGACTAGGGCCCCCGGGGCCGCGTACTGGGTCAGAAGATCCTGGTAGAGCCGCACGATACTGGGCTCGCTGCGCTCGCCTGCGAGGAAGAGTGCCCTCAGGTGTCGGAGACCTCCGCGACGCGCGACCGCCTCGAAGAAGCGATTCTCGGGGTCCTCTTTCCGGATGGCCCGCATGGCAGTCGGGGCGGTGAACAGCGCGTTGGCTTTGTGCTCCTCGACGATGCGCCAGAATGTGCCCGGGTCAGGAGTGCCCACGGGCTTCCCTTCGAAGAGGACCGTCGTGGCTCCGACGAGGAGAGGCGCATAGAGGATATACGAGTGCCCGACGACCCACCCGATATCTGACGCGCAGAACATGACATCGCCCGGCCCTTTGATGTCAAACAGATACTGGATGGAAAGGTGCAGACCGACGGCATGGCCGCCGGCTTCGCGGACCACACCCTTGGGCAGCCCCGTGGTCCCGCTCGTGTAGATCACGTACAGCGCATCGGTACTCTTCACGGGGACCGGCCCTGCCCTGATACCGCGCATGCGAGCGCTCTTCATCAACCGCTGCCAGTTCCGTTGGCCCCCTCGCTTGTCGGGCCGATTCCAGCGGTGTTCGTCCCTCTGCCAGATGAGGATCTTCTCCGGCTTGAAACTACTTGCCTCCACAGCACCCTCCACCAACGGGCGATAAGGGATGGGGCCCTTGGATCCCTCAATCCCGCAGGAAGCCGTCAAGATAGCGCGGGGCTTGGCCGCCTCGATGCGCTGCGCCAACGATTTCGGCGCGAAGCCGCCAAAGACGGCCGCGTGGATGGCGCCCAGTCGAGTGATGGCCAAGGCAGCGATGAGAGTAGCCGGGATCATGGGCACTAGTCAGCCAGTCAGTCTTCCATCTCCAAATCGACAGCATGTATCGTGGGGGGCCCAACTGTAAATGATCACCACATCCCCTCTCCTCACCCCTTCCTCCCTCAAAACGCCCGCCAAAACCTCCACCTCATCCAGCAACTGTCGATAAGTATACCTCTCCTTCGACCCCGTCACCGGCGAATCCCAAACAATAGCAATATTCTCTCCGCGTCCGTCCCGCACGTGGCGGTCCACGCAGTTGTACGTCGTCGAGATCTCCCCATCCGGGAACCACGCCCAATGGTCGTGCCGGACTCCACTGGGGAGGGTCTTGGAATGGCGACCGATGGCACATGACGGCTTTTGGTGCCAATCGAGCTGGTCGGCGTGGTGAGACCAGAAGCGCTCGGGATCCTGCAGGGAGGAGTGGTGGACTGCGTGTTGGGGGTGGGGGGGCATCATGTGGTGAGTAGTCCGGTCAGTCCACTGGACTAGTGAAGGTGGTATGTATGTATGTGCGTATGTATGACGAGGGGAAGGTAACTAATTTGGTTTCGTCCGGTCAAAGAATGGTCAAGGGATGAACCCGACGAGGGAATCGAGGGGGCTTTCAGAAGAGAAACCAAGACGAGGGGGGTATGAGACATGCGGGGAAGGGATCCACCCGTCGTTCTTTTCTTCCTTTCCTCCGTGTCCAGTCACTGCTGTCCTCCCTTTCAACTTAGTGACCCTGTTGTGGAATTCCCTTTGTCATCATTCCTGGGCATTTGTTTGTTGGACAGATCAGCTTCAGTAGTGGAACGCGGGGGACAAACCGAGGTAAGGGGGCAGAGAAAGAACCGGAAGCTTTCCCCGCACGTCGATCGAAGCTTGGACCACTGACCCTGTTTCTACCCAGTTCCTTGCTACATGATACAGGTCTTCTCGATTTGTTCAAGGTTCACTCTTGCATTGTTTTTTATATATATATACATATATATATTTTGTTTGTTTTTGACGAACTAGTAGGGAATTACTTATGCAGGTCTTGCATGCTTTGATCGTGGATTCGGACACGCGTGACTGATTCTCCCACAGATACATTCGGTCAAGGAAGTGAAAGACGGACTGGCGGGATCTTGTCAATCACCGTTAAGACTGGTTGGGGTTCAAATATCTGTTGTATTCTATGGCTTTTGGTTGAAAAGAAGGAATATAAATGTAAGATACATATAGAAATGTAAAAAAAAATCCTAACTGAACAGCCGACCTCTTTTATTGTTCTTTTGGTTTACTTGCAAATGCATCCGAAAATCAACAACTCAAAGCTCAGCCGTAGGGTATCATATCGCAATGCCTGCTAAACTGTCGACTGTCGTTCGCTGGTCCCCGAGGCCGAAAGCCAGACCGTCGTTCCATCAACTCACTTTTTTTTTTTTTTTTGTTCGGCTTTTCTGGTACCTCGTTCTGTCCGTTGGCTGTTCTTTTCTGCCATCTCATTTCCCTTCTCTCTTCTTCAGTGATCCCGTCCAAATGTTCGTGTGACCACCATCGAGCATGGTGGTCATCGAGAGTTTCTCTGATAGAGTCGTGACGGGTGTGGAAAATGGGTTGAACCAGGGAGTCAGGCAAAAAGCAACCAAACAAGGCAAAAAAAGAATCAGAGGAGCCAACACGATTGCAATCCCCGCGAGACGTTCTATAGCCTCCAATAGCTCTAGGGTCTCCAGCCCTCGAAACAAGAAGAGCCCAAGACAAAAAGAGAAAAAAATAAAAAGATAAGAAAAAGAATAAAACAAGACTATAAAAAAAGGAATATAACACCCAATAGACTTGAAAATAAAAAAAGGGGAATGGAAAATGATAGATCGCCTCCCACAGGTCATTCATGGTATAAATCATACATCGACCTCGTTCAAATAACCACCATTGCATCCAGCAGGTAGTAGGATGGGACGGGCGACACGTCAAGAAAAAGTAGGGGAATAATAATAATAATAATAATCCAAAGTAAGAACCTGGCGTCTGTAAAAGGAAATAGTGTTGCGCAACCGGGTACCGAGCCAGAGGAGCACCAGGGTGGCCTGCGATCAATATGGACAATGAATTTATTCGCGCGAAGCAAGCTCGCAGGAGGGCTCAGGGAAGGGATGTTGAAAAGAGAACGAGTGAGGAATGAGACCGATCACAAGGGCAATATGGCCCCTGTCCCCAGGATGACGGGCCAGAGACGTGCAGGAGAGGTCTGATGGGATGACTCGGCCGTCGCATTAAGCCAGGGAAAATCGGAGAAGAGCCCCCACCTCAGAGGATGTTGCAGAACCTGCGTTTTCCGGGACGATCGGGTCGGAATGATTTGGGGTATTCGGCGCCGCTATCTCCACGCATCGGGCCCATTCCGGTCTGCCGTCGGTCCTGGGACTTTGACCCTTGCTGCTGTTGACGTTGTTGCCGCAGCATCCGGACCACATCGTAGAAGGCCTTTTCGACATTGACGCAGTTCTTGGCGGAAGCTTCGACGAAGTCGCAGCCCAGGTCTTTCGCCAGGGCCTGCCCCTCCTGCGCGGAGACGGCACGCTCGACAGCCTTGTCGCTTTTGTTGCCGACCAACATCACGGGGACCGGCAACGCTGGGCCCGACGGCGCGTGGATGGGGGAGCCCAGATAGCTGGCCCCAGACGGCGATCCGGAGTTGGCGGATTCCTTGACCATCTTGATCTGGTTGTAGAATTTTTGTATCCGAGAAAAGGACGCCCGCGAAGTGATGCTGTAGACAAGGACGAAGCCTTCGCCGTCGCGGATCCACTGGTCCCTCAATGCGGTGTATTCCTCCTGTCCGGCAGTATCCAGGACTTCCAACATGCAAGACTGACCATCGATCACCACTTGCTTCCGGTACGAATCCTCAATGGTCGGGTCGTATGTTTCAACGAAGTGATTCAAGCAAAGCTAATCGGAGATCCAATGTTAGTACCGCATGATCGCTGCCAATTGGAGGGGGAAAACTTGAGAGCTAACCTGAATTGTAAGTGCGGTCTTGCCGACACCTCCATCCCCAAGTACCACCAACTTATACAACGTCATTTTTCCGGCCATTATGAAGTAGAATGAGTTCCTGTCGGGAACCAAGTGAGGGGAAGAAAAGAGGTAAAAAAAAGGAAAGGAAAAGAAAAGAGAAAAAAAAAGAAGAAAAAAAAAAAAAAAGAGTACGAGGGAAAAAAGGAGGAGGTCGCGAGAGTTTCGACGTGTGCTAGATGTGTGTCCAAGTGGCGCCAGTCGTTGTGGATGAGAAGGGGGGGAGTAGAAAAAAACGGAGGAAGAAGTTCGAGGATGAGAATATGATGGGAAAGGGTGAAGAAAAGAGCAGACGACAAAGTATGGAATGCTCCACGGTTGAGCACGGACGCGGGAACGGAGTGGTGCGAAACAACTGGGGAGTCCAAAGAACGGCTATTTTGGTAGTGCGCCATTAGCCACCGGAATAATCATCGTTGCTTTTAGGCCGTGGTCCAAAGCCCTCCGAAAACAGTCCCCATCTCGCCAAGAGAACACTGGTACGTACCTTTCGATTTTGACAGACTTTGTCGAGTCAGTAATAATGGTAATGGTATCAACAGGGCACGTTTGCCTCGGTGGAGGATAATCAAGAGAGAGAGAGAAACAATTCTGTTAAACTCTCGGACTCGAACCGGATGGGCGGCCAACACTTGCAGAACAAATGGGTCAATCCGGCAGAGTTCAATAATAGATGGGCTCACCCGTGGTTCCGTGCAACAACAGGAGAGGGGAAAATCAGATAAAACTGGGTGTCTGGCGTGTGCTTTGCCCAAAACTTCGGTTCAGGATTCACAGGTTTGCCTCAAACAGTTTGCGCCACGTGAGGGGGTAATATAAGCCGGAGAAAGGATCGCCAGTCGAGACAGTGTCACAGTAGTCACGATGCAGACGAGGCTTGTATGTTTGTATCCAAGAGTGGACAAGAAGTGGACAAGAAGATATAGTATCTATGCCGCAGGTCCCGGACGGTAGGAAGTATAGGAGTATAGAAATATGGAAGTGGGAGGAGTATGGGAGTGAACTTTGCGTGTTCACAGTCCGTATGGGATGGTCGTATGAATAGTTTATATGGATAGTTGTATGGATGGATGTATGGTATTCACCGTACGGACGGGTAACGATGGGAAGACCCAGAAAAAAAAAATCAAAGTCTCTAATCTTTGGGACGTTTGACAAGCGAAGAGGGGGAGGGGAAGAGACTACCGAACCACGAAGAGGAAAAAAAGGCTTGGCTAGGGAAGACAAGGAGGGGCTGAACCAGAGAAAAGATCGAGGAGATGAAACAGCCCGAGCAAAGCAAATTAAACCCAGGGAGGAGCAAACGGATTTAGAAGGATGGAGTCTCAGTGCACGTACAAGGAGGAAGACGGGGTTAGATAGAAAGATAGAGGAATGGAGTGCAAGGGTAGGGGTATAATAAACGCGAGGGAAGGGGAATTAATGGAATTAAATTATAAAGAAGGAAGAAAAAAGAAAATATGGTGTCAAGAATACTGAAAAAAAAAATAAAATAAAATAAAACCATTATAAAATAATTATAGAAATTTTTATATTTCAAGATACTAGAAATTATAGGGAATTATAGGAATGATCAGGAAATGGGGCAGCGGAGTCGATGATTCAACCTTTGTTGAACTCGGTTTAGTTTAGGAGAGAATCCAATCCGTATGGAGGATGGAAGTCTCCATTGCTGTCCTCGGTTTTCCGTTGGTTGGCTGCAAAAGGAATCAATCACTTTTTTTTTTCGAGGACGACAGGTGGTACAACTAGTATAGTGTGATCACTGGGCAGCAGCCAGGTTGGTGGAAGAGTCGAAAGAACAAACCACATCAATAGTAGTGATAGCTGGTGGTAGCTAGGGGGTAGCTACCGACCAACTAGTTGGGATCCACCAAGAGCTTGAGGTTGGAAATCAGAAATGACATGGAAATAGACGTTAGACCAATCAATAAACACAATAGAATAACAAGAATAAAGTGAATAGTTGATAGACAAATAAATAAATAAACGAACGATGATATCAAAAGCAAGAAGAATGAATGTGGAAACAGAGAGAAAGGAGGGGACGTCGAGAGAGACGATGGAGTCGGAGAGTGTTGGAATTGGCAGGGGAAACGAGGGAGGGTCTTCCGGGGGCTGGACTTTGACTTGCTGGACCCGCTTCAATGAGCCTGGACGGGATGTTTGTGCGTTCGGTCTTTCTTCCCAGTTGCCCCTTTTCTTTGGTTCCATTTGGTCATATTAATAACCCTCGGATTTTGACTCCTATGGTTGGTTGCTAGACACTGACAACTCGATTTTATGGAAGCTTTGGGAAACAAGGGAATGCATGATCAGGATGAACATGGAATAATGAATTTTGCTCATCCTAATGGCCACTCGCAATACGACATGATTGATGTCACCCGATGTCAATTGTCAACTGGCTTTCTCAAGTATTCCCCTTTCATAGTGGTCCACCCGGAAGGCCGGAGTTACGGAATTACCAGAAGTATACCTAGTATCTATTCTCTCAGAGTCGATTCCATGGTGGATTGGCTGGCTTTGTGCCAGGTCATCATAGCAGTATAAGCAATCAGTCCAGTCAAGAATAGCTACTAGGTAGCTAAGGTAGCTCCCCTCCCGTGCCACTCGATCCTGATGATCAGGGATCATGCTCCAACAGAGTGCTCTGTGCTCTTTACCACGAGAAAAATAAATAAAACACCATAGGGAGGGACGGTGATGATTTTCGAAGCATTAGGCACGGCTATACGGAGTAGCCCTTCGGAGTAACTATTGACTAGTAGATATGACAGATTTACTCGCACCCCTGCGGAGTAGCACGTTATGTTCATCCACGGGTCTAGAGTACAACGGTCCTTGGTTCGAGGCGAAGCGAGTCGTGCTCATTCGGTAGCGAACAGAAACTCCAGAAGCTCGGCTCCTCCTCTACACAGTAGTCGGCACCGTACATCTTACCATGTACAGAGTACGTACATACGTACACAAAGTATGATTCCTGGGCCACATTGAAGGATGTCTCTAGAATTTGACATATACCCCACTCAAAACTGAACACCGAATCATTACATCATCCTCAGGCTTCAGCCCTCAATGAGCTCCACTGTTTTGTCTGTCCAAAACTTCTAGTCTTCTACCCACTGGCGAGGAGTCGGGACTGGCGACTCCAAACGGGGAACGACATTGAACTTCCGCGACGTTTGGGGGCCATGCTAAAATGAGTCTTCCTGATCTTCGGGATACTTGACGCCGCCGGTGTGGTTAGTTCGATAATCTGATCCTGATCAACTCCATGTATCCCTTGGGGTCGGAGTCTGTGCTAGTTTGAGACATTGATGATGTAATACCATGTGGCAGTAGACCCTTGCTTCCTTGCGTGTTGATCGATTGTGATGGGTGTAGCAAGCACGGTATGCGTGGAGCCAAGGCTCTCTGCTCGGATCTTCTACTTTGGTGCCATCACTATCCCATCTTGGATCCTGAGAGAAAACCAATGTCACATGTCAAACGTTCTGTACCTAGTTCCCTACCTACGGTACTAACCTTTATGACAGCTTACGATCATCACCAATCGCCCGGATGGTGGGGAGGTCTTTTCGGCCCCTTTCTACATACTCCAACGGAGACTAGGGAAGTAGGCAGGTACTTTTTCCCTCCCTTCCCCTTCGTCCCTTCGTCTTCTCCCCTCGTCTCGTTTCCCTTCTCCCCATCACCAAAGAAGAAAGATCTGTAACAACCTAGAGAGAATCTGACAGGGGAGACTATTTCCCCGACCCTTGTCTTTGTCTAATCAATTCCTAATCAAGAACTGTCTGTCCCCTGGCGTGCGGACCGAGCCCTCCCCCAAGTCTCGATGCATGCGGCCGTCTGGTCGGGACAGATGCCGGGCCGGTCCATGGCGGGTACGGAGGTTCCACGGGAGCTAACGAGGATATACCAGTACTGCCTGCCAGTACCCAGAGGAGGTACTATATAAGAGCATCGTTGATTTAGGCCCTTCGGTCCGATTTCGGCTCATTGAGTTACTGGCAGTTTCTACTCCGTGCCTAGCGATCTATTAGGTATGGATATGCCCTATCCCTACAGCATATTCTCGGAGTGACTACCCTAGTATGCCATGATCTTCCAATTGCTAATGGAAATGGGACAACCATTGGGTCAGCTATGAGTATTCCTCATCATGTCTTCGACCTTTTAATCCCTGTCGCCCTATCCATTGGTGCTGTGTGTGGTCGCAGGGGGGTCCATCCTCCGCCCAAGTACAGCTTACATACCCTCTAGCCCTCTAGTCAATTACTACCTATGTATCTTTCTGTCCCCACTTTTCATATTGTCATGGTTATTATTTTATGCCTTTAATCCCACGTGTCGGACGGTCCGAAGCCTAGGCTAAGTCGGCTACCGGACCGACTAATAACGCACGGTGACTGAAATTTTCATCTATTTATTTACTCTTTAAGTAATATTTTCTCCTACTTCTTTCTCGTTTCTATTGATATCATTCATCAAATCAGCAGGAAGGTGGCTCACTAGCTCGCTCTAGTGACCCGAATACCACACTGTGGATTTTATATTAACATTGTCCCATCACAATCAAACCGAGTCTCATGCAACCTTCCGGAGGAGTCGACGGAATTAGATACCATGCCGCTCGATGTTTTCTTCTTCTTCCTTTAGAAGCCTTGTTAGGCTGTTTCAACTCTTCACCTAGTACCTTCCCTTCTCTTGTTTTTTTTTCTTTCATTTCTCCCTTCCTCTTCATTCCTTTTACTTTGTAACCCCTTTTCTATCTACGGCTCGTATACATGATACCAGCAGGTACAGTAGAGTTTGTAGGATAGAGTAACGTAGCAAGCATATACGACACCAACACCCACCCGCATTGCATATCTCGCCCGCTTGTGCATAATCCCGGCACATCTCCCATCTTGCATGACATAGCATAGCATGCATGGCATGCCACGCCCGAGGCTTAATGTCTCAAGCGTAGTACGCACTTACCGAAGACCAAAAAAGAATGAAAGAAAAAAAAATTCGAATAGCGAGAAAAATAACCCTGTTATGAATATGACAAGCAGACAGGGGAAATGTCCTCCGCGGATCCACCCACTAACTGACTATCGGTACGCCCTTCAACTTCAGGTCTAGGACTAGTTAGGGGGGTTCTACTCCGTTCCCCGTCGGGAAATTGCGGATCACCTACTAACTTTGCCCCTTCTTAGTTTTTTTCGGGTTGGAGGATTGTAGAGGAGTTACTCTACTTTACTTAGCTACTTCCGTGAGGAAGGATCGTAAGGTAGGTAAGGGAGACAGACTGGGTTTGCTTAGACTAGTGCGCTGTTGAAGCTCTCTTGCAAACTAGATTGGATGTAGGGCTTGGAGTGAGTGACCATGCTGGGACTTACTTAATATACCCTATTTTGATCTTCCTCTGTCCTTCTAGTAAGAGACCCCGACCCCTTAGTAGTTTGACTTATGTGGATCTGCATAGAAACCCAACCTCGTACCTGGAGAGGAAAGAAACAAGTGCAAGCATTCAACAGCATGCTGAGGTGAGGCGGCCTGTTGTATAATTTTGTCTCAGATGCTGAACATCATCATGAGTACCATGCTGCAACATATGTAATTATGAATTGCATCAATGATTGATTCCTGCGTATTCTCCCGGGCGATCTTGCGGCGTTTATTTTTGCAAGATATCAAAGATACACACAGACTCTGATGCAACACACTCTTGACAAGGCGATGAACCAAAACACTGCGGTTTGTAAGCAAAATACAATACTGAGGCTAAGTACCATAGACTTTACCTTCTTCTCCCGTTTCCCCCGGCAAGGTACACAAGCAAGCCAATTTCCAGCGCTTCTGCACCTTTTCGGCCCTGTGGGGGGACGATATAGATCCCAGAGCCTGCGGGGAGCAACGGTGCAGTGGGGCTTGAGTATTTCTGGACATATGTACTCAAAAGATGCTGACAATCCTTTAGAGGTAAGGCTTCGTGAAATTAAAATAGTCCATATTGAATCCGGGGTGCTCGATCTTTCATGATCAGATTATATCTTACAATTTTCTCTTTTATCCGCTTCTGTTCGCTCGTGTCAGGATCAAGGTCGGACACAGTACTCCGTACCAAGGAGCCTATTCCATATAAACTAGGTAAGTATTCAACTATCCCATTGACGTCGGCAGCTGGCAAACCGCCCGTTTGATGCTGTTGGATTCACAACAATACACGACAAGATTGATGTCTTCCGCAATGTAGTATGAAAACCCAAGCTCCATACAATAGAACAGCGGCCTTCCTCTTTGTAAATAAGAGACGCAATTCTGATCTTTCGGTGCTGCTGAAGCCGGATGTCGATAGAGTATACATAGGCAGCAGGTCTGCTTCACACTTCGCTTCCCACGGCCGGTTTTCGGAGGCCGTGGACATCTTACTGAAGGCGGGTGCGTCCACCTACAGTAAAGATGATCACGGTTCTACGCCGAGGGACTACGAACGATTTAGTGAGGACTATGAGGTATTGTACTTCGACGATGTATACAATTGTGTTTCAATACAACTGTGCCAGACATCGCATATAAGTCCGTTTCAATGTTCTTCCAAATGCCTCTCTGGCCAACACTTCAAGGATATGATCACATAAAGTAAAGAAGTGGCCATGTTGCCCGGGACAAAAGCCTTGCAAGGAGTCTCATGTGTTGCTCTGTAGTCAAGCCATCTGCTATGGATCTTCAGCACTTGGGTTTTGGTTCCCACATCAAACGGCATGTCGATGTCACTGTTTTAGCTGCGCACATAGAGGATTCTGACTGCCCTGGTGCACTCCATTAGCGCAAAACAAAATAAGCTTCCAGGCCTCGCTGTATGTTTCTCGCAAATAGTCTCAATGGGGCCTCGCAGACGTCCGCATTCCGAAATCTATCTGCTAATTGATCAAGCTTTTCGTTTCGAGCATATGCCAGAGAGTGTCTGGTAAACAGACTGGCTCTCTTCGGAGGCTTTGTTTGATGATTTCTACGCTCTGTAGGGTATCAGTTTTCAATGAGCACTTCCAATTCAGACCTACCTGGAGACCAAGTTTCTCACTGTAGTAGAACTCTCTACCATCGACCTCTTTTTAGAAGACTTTTCCAGATCAACGATCTTGTAGGATCTCTAAGCAGATACTTTGCGAGCCTAACGCCGGGTACGCGAGGGAAGTGTCGGAGAAAATTCACGTAAATGGGAAGCAGGACGGTCTTTTCTGTTCCACTTTAAGACTCCCAGACCCGTCTCACGAGATCTGACTCTTCCAAATCATCCGTTCATCGCTGTCTATCGCGATTTACTCTGTCTTTGGAGAAGTTATAGCCCAATTTGAATGGTATTGAGTCCAAAGTAGTCGATGGATGTAGTAAAGGTTTCAAGAATTGCATCTTTCCTGCCTTGAATAAGAACAAGGACAACCAATTATTGACCACCTGCATAACTGTATAAACCATCAAATTTTATCACCCAAGTGGATTTTTGGTAGCACGTAGAAATTAGACTACACTACGTTGAAATGTGCATCTGGTAGTGAGCAAAAGAGAAGAATAGATACATGGGAAGACCAGCGGCGCGCATGAAACAACCGGACTGTCTCTTCCTGTGATCCCATCCAATATGCGATCTCATCCGCAGAAAGACAATTACAACGGGGTTCTCAAGAATCTGCATATCACCTCATGTGACGGAGGGGTTAACATATTGTCAACTCAGGTACCTGGGCGGGTGGATAAAGTGGATGGGAGCTATATGGTCCAATCACTTAGTAGATGAAGTCTGATTCTCTGTATAACAAGTGAAAGTGGCCTAAAATTTAGTAGAACAGCCAAGCAACATATACAGTAATGTGTGTGCAAATCACCGAGTTTTTGGGTCGTATGTAGACTCTTATGACGTCGAATAGACCTGACTCGAGGTGTTGAGATGGAATGGAAACGAATGACATCATGCAGCGAGGCATATGATTGGTTTTCCCCTGTCTATCCTGACATAATCAACTACCAGGTACACGTGATGTTCCTGAATCCCCTGATCTATCAATTCTTGTTAAATCTTCCGGTCTTGATAGTATAAAAATTAAATTATAGCCTCGACTGCCTTGATATATAGTATCTATTCTTCTTCTTAATCCTACCCACATTGCCCACCGCACGTCCAGGTGCATTTGCAATAAGCTGAGAGACATGGACTTGTTCATTAGCCAACCGATCTCATTTCCGCCCGTTTTACGATTTACGAAAGCGCGAAAATGATGACGTCATTCATCCCATGCCTTGATGGGTTCCATGATTCACTTGGCATCTGCAGGTAAAGCTGCAGCCTAGAAAGATACCGTGCGCTATGTCGCATTCCTTTTAAGTCGCCCAATTTCTTTCTCCTCTGGCACAACCAAGTTGCTGGATTTTCGGTTACCACCATATCAGCAGGCAAGTATCTACACAGCATGGATCAGACCTACAAACCCACGCCATCGGCGCCCATCATACGCCTGATGGTCCTCGAGACCGACAAGCCTCACCCAGACACATACTCGGAGCGCGGCTCCTTTGGCCGCATTATCCACTCGCACTTTGCCAAAGCTGGACGCGCCCATCGTCCGCCTCTGGGCGTGGAGACGGACCAAGTTTTCGTCGTGTCCGAACAAGGCGGCCGCGTCCCAACCGTGCAGGAATTCGACGGCTTTGACGGCCTGCTCATCACGGGCAGCATGTACGATGCGCACGGGAACAACCAATGGATCCTGGACCTGCTGGAGCTCCTCAGGGCTCTCTGGATCAAACGCCCGGAGTTCCACTTCGTGGGCGTCTGCTTCGGCCACCAGCTCCTCGCCCGCCTCCTCGGCGGCTCCGTTGGGCCCACTCCCTCGCAAGACTGGGAACTGGGTCACTGCCGCATCATGCTCACGCCCGTCGGCCGCCGTCTCTTCGGCACGCGCGAGGACCACGTCCACTTGCACCAGATGCACCAGGACCAGGTTCTCACGCTGCCCACTTCTGCGTCTGCAGGGCACGAGCTGCTCACCGCGGACACCGAGGTACTGTGCTGGGGGCGCAGCGAGCATACGCCTGTTCAGGGGTTGTACATCCCGGACCGGCTGTTTACGACTCAAGCGCATTTGGCGTTTGACGAGGACATGGTGAAACGACAGATCCAGATGAGGGTGGATCGCGGCGGGATTAAGGATCTTGAGCATGCGGGTCAGGCGGCCGAGACGGCACATCTGGAGCATGATGGCGTTGAAGTTGCCAAAGCGATACTGCGGTTGTTTATGGACGACAAGGATGAACCATCTTAGGTTTAAGGGGATGGGTTGGCAGTGTCTATGGCTGTATATATGAACAAGAAAGCGGAAATTGTGAGGCACAGGTAACAGCATGGAACTTATGAGTATCATGCACCATGGTCCCATGGAAGCAAGTAAATGCAAAAGAGAATAATTTCTATAAAAAAAAAGTCTATGCTTTGTCTCTGATTGAGTTTGATTTCTTCAGCAGGGGCTCATCCGAGTGTTGCGAGGATATGCGGAAAGTTCTTAACATCTTTGTGCGCCGTGGTGAGATCAGCCTTCAGTAAAAAGTTACGGCGACTAAGTGGTCATATCTGCAGTAGTGCTGGTCGACAATTGCCTCCAGGAGCGGTCGGAAGCTTTCAGTGGCTGAATAGTTGCTAGACGAAGAGGCAGATGCTGACATCTTGATCCTTGTAAGTTAAAATACTAAGGTTGCTGGTCAGTTGTGTACCTTACCAAGGTACTGTTCAATAATTTGGTGCAGTAGCTGGGATAAATCAAGGTGGTAGATTGAGATGAGGAAGATGAGATTGAGATTGACAGTGTGGTTCAGAATGAAGAAGTAAGAAGTAGCTAGTTGGTTGAAATTAGGGAAGGGGGAAGCGAGAGGTAGTGGGCTTGAATCAAGAGAGTAAGAGGAGTTGGAAAGGCAACAAGGCGGGCTGGTAATGCCGTGATCCCATCACAGTCACAATGACACATTTGTGACGTGAATGATAAGGGAATAGTGACAGAAGTCAGAGTGGCTAAGGTATTTTGTACGCAGTTCTGTCAATCTCTCTCTTTCTCTTTTAGGGAAGAAGAAGTACATGAAAATAATCCAGTGATAGGAGCGTTAAACATCGCCATGTGAAGATGATATGAGTCTATCAAGTATAATAACAATCAACCTCCCCATGTTCGCAGTCACCAATCACCAATTTATACTTCACCCGTCACAGAAATTCCCAACCGCTTTGCAACTTCCACGAACCCAGCAGATTCTTCATCTATCCACAAATCCACATACCCCTCCCGCCGAGCCTGCTCCGGATCCAGATTCTCCTCCTGAGGTCGCTCCACATAAATTGTCTGGAACCCCAAGGCCTTTGCGGCCTTCAAATCACTCAGATGCGCAGCCACCATCGCACACTGGTTGGGCTGCATTCCAAACCGGCCCGCCGCTCCCAGATACACTTTAGGCGAGGGCTTGTACGCCCCGAAGTGCTCCGCGCTGGCGATATCGGTGAATGGCAGAGAGGCGTGTTTCACCAGATCCTCCAGCAGTGACACATTGCCGTTGGACAGCGTGCAGGTCTTGAACTTGCTGCTGAGCATAGCCAGACCCTGCACGGTGTCCGCCCACGGATCTAGCCGGTGCCAGCTGAGCGCTAACTCCCGCTTTTCGCCGTCTGTGAAGACTCCGTCCAGCTTGCGGCGTTGGAGGATGTCGCACAGGGACTCGTAGTGGTGCTGGTCGACGAGCATGAAACCTGACGACGGGTCGAAGTTGTGCGTGAAGTGGTTGTAGGACTCGCGCCATTCTTCGGCGATGGCTAACCAGTCTTGATAGGTCAGTGCTGATGCCCGCTCGTGCTCGTCTGGTGAAAGTGACTCGCGGGACTCATTCAGCGCTTTTGTGGCTGCTCCTTGGAGACTTCGCGTGACGGCGTCTCTCCAGGATAGGGTTGTCCCGAATACGTCGAAGAGGAGCACTTGGAGGGGCGGATTGTTCGACATGGTAGGTTCTAATCCTCGTGGCTAATGGACAGTTCCTGCATAGCTATCGTTATTATAATGACTTCATGTTGGTCCAGGAAGGGCAGTACTCACTCAACTCAGGGTTAGATCTGAGGAAATTTAGTGAGCGTACAGCTAGAAACCAAAAATGTCACGAAATGTTGAATCCGACACGGTTTATCTGATCATGTACCAGAAGATCGACGACAGTCCTCTCATTAAGCATCTGTCTCCAACATCACTGGAATATATACCCCTCATCAGCCGCTAATTATTAGTCAGAGAGGGGTTCCAAAGCTCGTGATCGTGATAGATTCGAACGAAAGGGAAGTGATAAGCAGGAACACCTACTGTTTCAACTTCGTCCAGACTGAGTGACTCATATCAATCAAGTTGGTCTGGACCGGGAAATCCCGAATCTCACCCGGTCAGCGATCTTGTCTTCAAGCTAGACTCTGTATATCGGCTAAGCCTTGTCATAGCATCAGATGGGTAAACTATAAGGGAACTCTCCTTTGTGTACCCTCACCGTGCGGCTGTCTTCGTCGTTGTTCATGATCTCATTTCCCTTGCTCTGCGTGTCGACGTGAGTAAGGGATTTTGCTTGATATTGGACAAGCAATTTATCTTGTGGCATATCGGTTCGTGATTCATACATCATGTTCAATGGCCAAACACCAAACCACTGGTTCCATGCGTGCTATCGACCACTATAATATTTCAATTACTAGCTAAGTCAAGTTTCAAAGAATCCTATAATTGTATCCTCAACCTGTACTGAAGAAGCGCAGGTGGCGATTTGTTTATTATTGCACATGAATCTAATTGTAGCTAGACTTGATTTTCTGCAATGATCATGCAGAGAAACAGCCACCCGCCGTAAGCCTCTCAATATGAACTTTATCCTGCAGTGCAACTAACATAGGTATACTCCACAGCATTTTGTTTTTGGAACATGCATTGGGGTGCAAGCTATAGATGGCGGAGCAGAAGCTAGTCCCTACTGATGCAGAATTGGACTTCTGACGCCGCAAGCCCGGCAGATGCTTCGGGTGACTCCTGCACAGATGTGCCCATTGAGGATATCTGCAACCCAAAAGATGGTTGAACTCTGGTGGCTACTAATCTTCGGATGTGCATAGTTGAGCATACTCTCTATTCTGGGGAAACCAGATCCCCGTGAGTGTAAAGATTGAAGGACGCATTCCGGATCTGAATTCTAATTATACACGTATAGTTACCAGGACATCGTCGGCAGTCCACTCGCAATACCTTCCGCTCATATCCTGCTCTGGGTAGAGTAGTGTGGGTGACATATGGGATTATAATCCCACCGGGGAGGTTGGAAATGTGGATACATCGATGCCCCCATCAAATTGGATGAGTTGTTGGTCGTTTTATCTCTTGATATGCTTTTCTCTTGTGGAAGACGACATAATCATTTGAGATCTGAGTAGACATGATACTTAACTATAAAGCACTTTGTCGATTCGACGCAGAGATACATAAAGCAGAAGACAAGCTGGAAGTTGTCGAAGGCGTGCTCATGAGCGACGCCGACATGGTGTGTTTTCTGTACACTTCAAAGCTTGACGGCAGAGGAGGATGATATTTTTTGGAGACTGGATTTCCTCGCAGCGTAACCTTGTCAACCCAGTACCTGAAATGTATCCAGCATACCCCTTGAAAGTAGCCATGCTAGACAAACATTTTTAGTCTTCCACATGGCAAACGGAGGTTTTCTGCAGTAAACCGATCCAACTCGAGATAGGCTGTAATCAAACTTCCACTGGACATCCGCATTTCCAAAACACGCCACTGATGTTGAGGCTTGAATTTCATGTGCAGTCTCGGCTTATCCCAAATCTCGATGGGAAAGTAGCAAGCACCGAGGCGTAGATAAACCAAATGGATGTGTATAGCCAGCGCTGCCGGGTCATGCAGGAATGGGCACCCTGGTCGATGAACGTTTACTGGCAGCAACGGTCTGACATCTTGTCGGAAGATGACAGCTGCTTTAATCTTATGACCTCCTGGTCTGTCTTGAGTTGTTTTTCCATGGAGTGGTGTTGAGTGGTCCCTAACTCTAGGCTTCATAGGTATAGACATGTTTCACTCCATGGTAATTACTCTTTGAATTGTCCCAAGTGTTGCTACAAGGCACAGAAAATAGTCAGTAGGTTTGGATTTCTTTTAATGGAACTTTTCAGGAAATTACTCCATCAGAACCTGTTTGATTTCCTATCAATGAGAAGCTTGATCTGAGTAGATATAGATATATAGTGTAGATTTTCACAAGCTACTCAGTCAAGAAAAATAATAGCTGGAAAATAGCCACGCGCAGCTTATGCCCTTTTGGCCATATAATCCATCGAGTACTTCCTTATCAAGCGACGATAAAAATAGGAGTCGGCAGGCCCGTGTGATGATCCTTTCGATCCATCACATCACATCACAGCACCCTGCATGCTTCCGTGGTCGCCTGGCCGTTAGCTGCCCTCCTAAGTGACCCCCAAGCCACTCTGCGGTTCCATTGGCAATAATGACAGCTGCAGTCCCGCTGATCCGTAAACGGTGCGGCCCCGGCTCTGCCACTAGTTTCGTATGCACCATTTTCTGTGGAGAGACAGTCATCACTGGTCTTGGTGATAGAAACTCGTCCGTTTATGGGGAAGTTCGACACTTCCGTGACAGAGCATCGTGACCTGTCAAGTGACCGCGACAAAGTGGACTCTTTTACTGCGCCGCCGTTGTCACATCGGTTGCCTTTTCTTTGCCTCTTCTCCTTTCGGCTTCCCTTTTCTTTTTCGTTCCTCGGTTTCGCTTTTCTCGATTGAGAATGGCTATCTCGGGAGATGGCGATACCACCGTAGAGTGGCAGTGTTGTCGTATATCCAATATCCCATTGAGGATTGGCAAAGTACGAAGCATTTCTATCGTAGCCAAGACACACACCCGGGGAAATGGCTTCCAATCTCATTCACCCGCCACCGCCACCGCCTTCTGGCTCTGCTCATGCAGCATGCAGCAACCTATCCTTGCCTTCCCACACACTCGGGTTTCCTCGACTGTACGATCTCAATGGCAATTTCGTCCACCGCAGAACTGGGCTATAGTCATATTATAGGGGACGATTATTTGGTAAAGCGACCGCTCGAAAATAAATTAACGATACTTTCTACGATTTCATCGAGACACTCCCAAGAAGCAAAACCAAGTCAACAATGGGTCACGGTCAGACTCAGTACCTGACGGAGGACTCGTTAGTGGGAATAATGAGTGGATCCAGCGGTCTTAACTTTCGGGGCGGAAACTGAATTCGGCCATCCACTATCCAGTCATCAAATCCAAGGATCGCGCTCGGGTCCTCCCTTTGTTTACGTCTTGCCGAAAAGAGTGTTGAGACCTCGTGTATGTCGTCCCTGACGGCTGGGTCCTTGTCGGCAAACGCATCCGGTCGAATCGAAATGATTCCTGGTCACTGAATCGAGGATTTTTCTCCTAGTCGACGGCAATGCCGAGATCGACCATCTGAGCCATGAGTCAGGGAGGCCTCGTTTGCGCTGACTTGTATTGCCCAAATCACGCACTATCAGCTCGTCGCGAGTCCACGACAAGTGCGCCTCGGATTCGGACGAGTCGCATCTTTCTGACTGTAGAGACAAGTGGAGATCGAAGTCGACGGAAGACCAGACCGAGCTCCGGAGCGCTGCCTATTAAGATTTCCAGCGGGTTGACATGGTCGGTGATCGTTGGATTTGGACTATCCTTTTCTCCGGTTTAGTATTACTATGACTATTCCGATTATGATTTGTTATTGATCTGGTGTCCCTATTTGAAACACGGACCAGGGGCTCTCAAAGACCTTGGAAATTAAGTCTTGACGATCGCACTCCAGAGCCACAGCTCGACCCTGGATGATCGTATGACTATAATATAGGGAATTAATCTTATCTCAGTGAAAGTGGATGAGGGAACAGACCGGATGGACAGGGGTCAGGAAGAGAGATGCTCCTGGACTCCTGAGCCGATGCAAGACATCTGTGCATATTCATTTGACTGATTTGAATTCTTGAAGCCGATATTGCGCTTCATGCTTGTGACACATTCATTATTGGTTAATTCTCCGGAGATTCCAATCATCCATGCATTTGATCATGGTGGGTCTGGTCTTTTTGAGCTTGAGCTTGAGCTCCCCCTTTAGTACTGACTGAGAGCCACTCCAGGTACTTTTGCGCGGATCTCCCAATCATCGCAACCTTTTGACTTCCTTTGCCCTTCTCTCTTTGTCCCCCTTTTTCTTCAATTTCTTTTTTCTTTCTCTCTCCCATCCCGGTCCAACCCAGCCGATCAATTCCGTGTTTCAGCTGTCTCTCTTTCATCCATTCCCGGCGCATTGTCAGTTCCCGGTTTGATTGTGGCTTTGGGTTTTGATACTGCGTCCCCATTGCCCTTAATTTGTGCCTTCAATGCCGTCTGGATTCCAATGTTTCATTTCATTTTAATAATGTTTAATCTAAATTTCTCTCTAGTACCTTTCTTGGTTTATTTTTGACTTCCTGTAATTATTTCTACTTTCTTTTTCTTTTTGCCCCCTCAATCCTCCGGTGTAATTGCTACTATTGGTCCACTAGCTGTCGTTGCTCACGATGATTTCCCCCCCTCTCAATAATCCCAGAGCCACTCGTCATCCAGACCACCGCACCCACTTCGGATCGTCTGGTCTGATTCGCGTATCCCTTCCCGCGTCATGCTGTTAATCGGACCTTTTCTATCCAGACTGAGGTCTGTGGCAGCTGGTGTGGACCACTGAGATGGCTCCTCCTCACTAATCGGGTGCATGTGTCCTTCCTCCCCCCACCCCCTACTTTGCTCTCCACATCCCCCCCCCTAACGAACACCCCCTGGATGGGCTAACGTGTTAGTGCAGAAGCCATGGCTGGTCTTCCTCACGCCGGCCCCATGCCGCAAGGCTAGTTAGTAGTTCGTGATCGGTCATGATCCAACGGTCTTCTCTCCCATCTCGTCGTCCTCTTTTCCCTCCTCCGCGGCCTGGTCATTTGTCTAGACTCGATGTCCCATTGAACTAGTCTCGGAGAGCAGCGTCAATGTCAATCGCTCCGTTTCGCGGATCTCGACCGCGTCGTTAATCGCTAGTCCTTACTGCTGGCAGGTGGAACTTCCGACCTCGATTTCCCCATTTCTGCTTGCCACCCCCCGCTTCGTGAACTCGCCTCCTCACGGATTGTCATCTCGCAACGCGTCCGGGCGCTTCTTTCTTTGCATCTCCGCTCTCTGCCTGGAAAAAAAAAAAAAAAACAAAACAAAACACCACCTACTTCATGTCAGTCGTCACTGTGGCGTGCCCAACCCGTCTCAGCATTTTCCTCTTTCTCCGTCCCGCACCCCGCAAGTTATCCTCCGCGTCCTGACGTGACTGATTGCTTCCTCGCAGAATACGTACTGCCGCGTCGAATCGGAACCTCAAAGCTGCTGGTCAGCGCCTTCGACAGGCTCATCAATCTATCAATTGGCCACCATCGGTGTCCCGCAAACCAATGGGTGCTGCGTATACAACGGCTTGACTGATAAGCCTGTCGGCATCCATTTCCTGCGACAACTTGGTCCGTTCGCTTGAAGGGCGACGATCTTGAATCATTGCGTGGCTTGGCCATTCGAATGAGCTCAATGATGGCCACAGACGCGGTTCCCCAGAGCCCTCCCACGAGGGCAATTCCTACACCCTCAACCACTCCCCCGACAGACCACCCCGCACAGACTCGAAGAGGCTCGTCTGCGGGTTACTCCTCCTCAAATTTCTCTCTTCGGACTGAGAACGCCTCCCCTGACCGCCCCAGTGACTACGAAGATATCATGGATGAGGACACGATATCGCCGCTGGATCCTCGGAGGTTCACACCCACACTGCATGCGTCGCTAGTCTCGGAGATCCTCGCCCTGCGACGGGACGTGGAAGGCAAAACTAAAGCTATTGATGTACTGGAACGATCCTTGGATGACTCGCGGATCGAGAATGACGACCTCAGCGATCGATTGGCCAAGAGCACCCGGGAGACCCGGTCGCTGAAGCATCAGCTTAACTTACTGGAGGGCGGATCGTCCTCCGCTCTCACGGAGCTGGCCAAGGAGCGTGATACGGCGCTCGATAACATTGGCGACGTTCGCAAAAAATTAGACCAGGCCCAGAAGAAGGCACGCGGTCGAGATGAAGAACTCGAGCGGTCCTTGAAGCTCTGGGACCGCGAGAGGGAGTCGTGGGAGACGGATCGCCGGGCCCTGGAGCGCAAAGTCCATGTTGTCGAAGGTCGTCTCAAGGTTGTCCTGAATGAAGTGGCGGCAGCACAAGCCGCTGGCTCGTTCCGCTCTACGGCTGCAACGAATGCAGACGAGGCCGCGTCGGCCAAGGAAGAGGCCCTTGGAAAGGACAGCGATTCCGCGAGTATCCTTTCCAGCAGTCAAGGTCCACGCCGGACTAGCGTCACCAGTGTGAGCTCCAACGAGGACGACTACCGGGACTTCCACAACGTCCGGTACTCTGTTGCCAGCCTGGCAAACATCCCGTCGGGCAAGTCGGATGGGATGAATCTCGCGGACGAATTGGCGTTTGACGAGGAAGACGAATTCGATCTAGCGGACGATGATATGGCCCCAGATTCCCCCGAGGCGCTCCCAGAAGAGCGTCCTGCGTCAGTCCACTCTCAAATATCCCAGACGATGGGAATGGGGGCCAAGGCACGGAGAATCCTCGGCCTCTCACTGGAAAGCGGAGTGGACGGTCAAGGAATCAAGGTGGACGGTGTCTCCGAGTTAGATACATCCGTGAAGGTCTCGACAAAGGCTGTGTATCAAGACACGGGTATCCAGTATTCCCCGCCGCCGTCTCCAATGTCACCAGAATTTGAATACCCGTTGTCCCAAAATGACAGGGATGTCTCGGGTCAGACGAAGGACAGCGGCACATCGACAGACTCAGCTGACATGGTGTCGACGTCGTGCCAGACCGTTGGCGATATCCCAACTCCTCCACGTACACCCAAGCTCGATGAATTACTTCCCCAACCTTCCGCTCCCAAGCGGGCGATCACGGTGTCTACGGCAGTCCAGACAGAGCAGGAACTTGCCGCAGAGCCGGAGAAACCCAGCCCCGCCCTGCAGGGTGCGGGTTCAGACAGTCTTCAAATTCCGATGATTGCAATCCACCCGCCTCATTCAGAGCCTCCTTCACCACGTGGAAGCGTGGTCCTCCCGCCACAAACCAAGAGTGTCTCCTGTCAGGCCAACTTTGGGCCCATGGTGAGTTATCAGACAGTGGGAATGCAGACGGAGCCTATTCGCATCGACCAGCGGCCTGTCAAGCTACCAGCAAGCTTGCTCCCCTCAGCCATACCGGACTTCCCACCGAGCAAGAACGATCGCGATCCGCCCATTCAGCCGTATCGGGCTCCTCCCCCGAGGACCAGACCTCCCAGCGATGTGCAGCCCCCGCCGCTGCCACCGAAAGCTCCGTCACGGAGTAAGCCGCCCGGCCGTGTGCAAGCCTACCCTGGCAACAACGACAACGGGCCCCTGTCCGAGGAATCCAAGACAGGGATGAGGCGACCGCTCCGATCGAGCAGTTTGTTCGCCGGATTTGAAGAGTCGAGCGATGAGGGTTCTCCCGAAAGCACGAGGGATATCTTTACCGACGACGCTTTCCTTAACCGGCCAACGGCCACTTATAAACTCAGACGAGGGAAATTGGTTTCCACCGAAGAACGTTCAACTCTAGACGACCCCGTCTTGCCCGAAGTGGTTGAAGATGAACATCTGCTCGATCCAGATTCTCAGCTCTTCCATGCCTCGGGTTCCAGTGTGAGGGATGTGGATGGTACCTCCCGACAACGTACCGGGACAGTGGCCTCGGGGGGTCGGCAACAGGACATTCGCAGAGCGGCCATGATCTCCAACGGGGCGTCTGCCCATCAGAAGATACGGGCCCGAAGTCCGAGTGAACCGACCTTTGACAGCGCCAGCGCCAGTGGTGCGTCGAACATTCCGCCTCCCTTCCCGGTTCCGATCCGATTGAGCTCCAGGAAATTCCCTGCTGAAGGAAGCGATGGTCGACAAAGTCCGACTCCTTCAAACCCCCGAAACTTCTCTGACCGCGGGCGAGCACCCGCTGCCCGCCGACCAATCCTGCGACGAGTGCGGTCTGCAGCTGCCATGTCCCAGACGGATCACACCGAACGACCGAGCAGCCGATCCTCCCCCGCCATGTCCGTCTCGTCACAAGCTCCTGAGAGTCCTCGATACCCACCTCTCCCGTACGACGATGTCACAGCGCACCAGGGCAAGTATGGGGGCCGTCGCCGGTCGGTCCGCCGTGCGGCGCCGCACACGTTGGCCCACGAACGAGAGGATTCGGCGGCGACGTCGGTCCAGCCAACCAGCGTGGTCGACGCGATAGCTCAGACCATGGTCGGAGAATGGATGTTCAAGTACGTCCGGCGACGCAGATCATTCGGCGTAGTCGGCGAGTCCAAGGACTCCTGGGAGGGTCGAAACGCGGACGAGGTGTCTGCGAGCATCACCAACAGCGGCGTGCGGCACAAACGATGGGTCTGGCTCGCTCCGTATGAGCGAGCCGTGATGTGGAGCAGCAAGCAACCAACAAGTGGGCCGGCGCTGCTCGGGAAAACTGGTAGAAAGTGTACGTTCCGCTTCATAATGTTGGTACGTGTACATGATCGCTAACGTCCTCGCAGTGATAATCCAGTCCGTTCTCGACGTCAAGGATGACAACCCGTTGCCCAAGGGGACCAACGCGCAAAATCAATTCAACCGATCCATCCTCATTCTGACACCACAACGCGCACTCAAATTCACGGCCATGAGCATCGAACGGCACTACGTGTGGCTGACAGCCCTCTCCTTCCTAAGCCACTCCACAATGGGCGTGCAAGACCTCGCGTCTCTACCCCCCGCCCCACAAGAGGAATTCTCGTCACCGGTGCCCGCCCCAGCCCTCCGCCGGAACCCAATCCGCGACTCCATCAAGATCGCCAAAGGCCGGCCTCGCCCGGGGCCCAAACCAAAGTTGTCCTTCAACCAGCCAGAGCCGGTCCCCGAGCTGCCCCTAGAGCTGGAAACCGCCGACTCAATAGACGGAGCAGCCGACCCGCCCACAGTGCCTCGCTTCTCGAACCACGCCCGCAAGCGCAGCAATCCCACCACGCGAATGCCCGTCCTCCGCAACTTCTCCAGCCAAGCCACAATGCCCTCGATCGCGTCCACGCGAGGCTCCTCAGAGGCACATACCCCGTCGCAGGGACCGGGTGTGAACAGCGGCCGGAGCAGCCTCAGCCACCGCACGTCAGAAGCCAGCACCGGCACAGGGAACTTCTTCGACGCGGTAGGCACCGTCCGCATGGAAGCCTTCATCGATCAGACGGAGTCGAACCGCAACCGCGTGCCCGGTCGACGCAAGCGCAAGACGTCGAGTCCGTGGAGCGCGGGGAGCCCGGCTCATCTGGACCTTGATATCCCGGCCCCTATTCCGGCCTTGACTACCGAGGATGATGATCTGTTCCGTGGGTTTTAATGTATATAGCTTACTTACAACACTCCTTCCCTTTTTTTTCACTTGTCTGTTTTTTTTTGTTTTTTTTTTTTGTTGTGAGATATCCCGGTTTACTTCTCACCGATCGCACTTATACCACAGGGAAGTACTATTTTATGCTTGGAGATATTTGTTTGGGTATTATGTTAGTTTTATATGGATAATCAGAATACATGAGTATAATAAATATATGGAACATCATTCCAGCGAGAAGTCCGAAGTAGAACAATATATAGATAGATAGATGAATAGATACTCAGATAGTATAGGGAATAACTTAAGTAGCATACAGATTTATCTAGCGATCCAAAAATAACAACACTATGCTTCTAGTCAAAAACACAACAGACAGACATCGGTTCGGAAGCCACACTATGCACATTCTCTAAGTCACGTCCTTCACATCGTCGTGTATCTCCCCCTTGTTCACGTGGTTTATCTTAGATCTTTCTTTCCTTTCCTTTCGAAAATAGGTATCTCCCAATCGACTCATAATAATAACAGATTATTATCGATATCCCTCACAGCTTCGCAGCATCCTTGACCTCGCCGATCTTAAGCTTGGGCGAGTACTTCTTCAGGACGGACTCGTTGTGGTACTATTCGTTATCGTCAGCTTTGTTCATCAAATATCTATTCGTTTATTCCTCAAATATCCCCCCCCTCCCCTCTTTGAAAAAACACCATACAAAATAAGAGTGAAGAAAAAAAGGAAAAGGGTAAAGAAAGATACCTTCCAAAACTGCTTCGAAGCATCCTTGCCAGCAACGCGCTTCAGGATCTTAGCGCCGCCAGGATGCTCATCCACGAAGTTGGTCACGTCGTAGACGTTGGAGTCAATGATGATGTAGAGGCCCTTGTCGGGGCTGTTGTGCGAGGAGACGTCTGCGGGGGTGAATGCTTTGGACATTTTGCTGGTTTGGTTTTGTATTTCTTTGTTTGTTGTCTTTGGGTTTGAGGTGGGAGATGGGTGGTAGGTAGTGGTATTTATTGAGGTATTCTAGTGGAAGAGGAGAGAGAAGGTTGGTCTAGATGTTGTTGCGGTCTCGAATGTGTTAGGTGTAAGGAAGCCTATGATGTCCCGACTCCACTTGATTGATGATATATCCGGGGTTCAATGGCTGGGAGAAGAGGGGGACAGCCGAGGTAATTCTCCTGCCGCGGTCAATTGAAATCAACGGGTTGTTATTGGTTTATGATTTCCCCACTACCAAGTGAACCGGATTGTTCATTGTATGGTACCTTGTGCCTAAGGCATCTACTATCTTAAGGACTACAAAACACCAAGTAGGGTAGACAATGGATATGATTACACTGTATAACTAGGTATGTGTTCAATCTCGACTCTTCTCCCCCGTCGCTCCCTGCCCCTTGATCTTTCTTTCCAATCCCAACGTCTCCAGATCCTTCTTCTTGTAATAATGCGGCGCCACCTCCACCAGCCACTCCGCCTGCAGCGGCATATTGTTCCGCATGTACTCCTTGCTCGTCAGCACCAGCTCGAAGTAGATCACCCACCGAGGGTTGACCTCGAACAGCGTGCTCGACGGGTGCAGGTACACCGTCTGCCCGTTCTTGACAGTCCGGTAGCTGTCGCCGCCGCGCTGCAGACGCGCTGCGTTCGGGAAGAAGCCCGCTGTGATCGCCTTCTGGATCGGCTGTATATTGGTCGCGCCGCAGGTGCTGATGGAGACTTCGACGCGGTCGCAGAGCTTTGCGAGCTGATCGCGCACGTCGCGCGCCCGTGTTAGGCTGCGCTGTTGTAGGAAGTTTTCTTTTGCCCAGACGAGGCTGAAGTCCGAGTCGACCCATTGGTTCCATACGTTGAGGAGCGTTAGGTGGTCGCCGCCGTCTTTGATGGTGAATCGGTTGCGGGCGCTGTCGGCGTGAATCTTCTTGTCTTTGGGTCGGAAGAATAGCGCGCTGCCTTCGCCTAGCATTGACACGATGGAGAGGACTTCCTCTACGCAGCCGTACTGATCGGCGGCTAGGATAGCCTTGGCTAGCATGGGCTCTGTCGGGAATTCGGCCATCTGGCGTCCGATCTTCGTCAGCTCGCCCTTGTCGTTCAGAGATCCCAGGGCGTAGAGCTGCTCCAGCGCTCGGATGATAGTCTCCGCGGGCGGGGGGTCCATGAAGTCGAATTCGAGAAGCTGGTCGATCCCGAGCGACTTCAGCATCAGGATGACGCTGCTGAGGTTTGTTCGCTGGATTTCCGGCGTAGTGCTCTCCTCCAACTCGTTGTGGTACGCCCACTTCGTGTACAGCCGGAAACACTTGCCGGGCCCAACTCGACCAGCTCGTCCGGCTCTTTGGTTGGCCGATGCTCGCGAGCAGGGCGTGACCACCAAGCTCTCCATCCCCGTCCGCGGGTTGAACACGTTCTCCTTGACGAAACCAGGATCGATCACGTAGACGATCCCGTCGATCGTCAGACTCGTCTCGGCGATGTTGGTGGCCAGCACAACTTTGCGCGCCTTCGGGGGCGTGGGCTCGAAGATCTTTGTCTGGAGCTCAGACGGCAGGTTGGCGTAGATCGGACAGACGATCAATTCCGGGATCTTATTCCCCAGTTTCCGCGCTGTCTCTTGCAGACTCTGCTCAGCCGCCTCAATCTCCTCTTGACCGGTCAAGAACACCAGCACATCACCAGGGCCCTGGGAGATGTGGATTTGAAAAACGGTGGTGATGGCGGCAGCCAGGTAGTTGGCCTCAGGCTGCGACGTATAGTGGATGTCCACGGGATATCGGCGTCCAGGGATATTGAAGATCGGCGCGTCGTTGAAATACTGCTGGAACTTCTGCGCGTCCATCGTCGCGGACGAGATCAACAGCTTAAGATCAGGGCGCGCTTTGGCGATATCCTTCAGAAGACCGCACGCGATGTCCGTAGGTACCGTCCGCTCGTGCGCCTCGTCGATCATCAGCGCGGAGTACTGGCCCAAGTCCGGCTCCGTCAGGAGCTCTCGTAGCAACATACCATCCGTCATGTATTTCAACACAGTCTTATCGCTCGTGTTGTCCTCGAAACGGATGGCATAGCCGACTTCGTTGCCCAATTTCACCCCCATCTCATCGGCCACACGAGACGCAACGCTCATAGCGGCGACTCGCCGGGGCTGCGTGCAGCCGATCTTCATCCCATCTTTGGTGTAGCCAGCCTCGTGGAGGTACTGGGGGAGTTGGGTCGTTTTCCCTGACCCGGTCTCTCCGACGATGATGAGCACCTGGTAGTTTTTCACTGCCTCGATGATCTGTTCCCGGAATTGGTAGATGGGGAGGCTCTTCCGGGTCTCCTCCATTGAGGCCGCTTTCTTCTCGGCAGCATCAAGCTGCGTCTGTAGGGCGCGCTGCTCCTGCGTCATCGGTTTCTGGGTGCCTTCCATCTTGGCGTCCATGACGAAGCTGATCTTCTGCGAATCGTCAAAGACATACTCGTAGTTCCCCTCATCCACAATCTCCGCGCGCTTGATTTGCGCCTTGGCCTTGGCCGTCTGCTCCAATTCCCATTCTTCGTGCTCCGTGACAAACCGCTCCTGGCCCTGGTCATCGCGGTCGACATACCGCTTGTAGAGAGCCTCCTCCTTCTTCTTCCGATCGATCTTCCCCTTCTCAGTGATGTAGTCATCCGGCATCATGTAGCCATCGCGATAGTCGTCGATTTTGAGTCGCTCCTCCGCAATCCGAAGTACTTCCCGATTCCGAGCGAACTCCTCCTTCTCCCTGCGACTGAGACTCGGGTTCTCGCGCATCTCAGCCGTCTCCTCCGCAACTTGCCGTCGCAGCAACGCCAGCCGCTCCGTTTCTCTCTTCTTGAGATACTCCTGGCGAGAGCGCATCCGAAGCTCCGGCATAACCTCCGCTCGGGCCGACGCATCATCCGCCAAAGCCCGTCGCCGTGCAGCCTCGCTGGTCCGCGTCCGGTCCTCGACTATCTTCTTCGACTTGCCGTCATCCTTGTTAGCCAGCCGCTTCGCGAACGCATCTCGCTCCTCCAAGTCCCGCTTCCGATCCCTCTCCTTCTTCGCCTCCGGATCGAGTTCCTCAGACGAATGAGACCGGGGCGAGGCCGACCCGTCCTCCAACCGTGTGCGCTTGGACGGCGATTCCTCGAAATCGCCCCCCTGCGCGTCCTCTTCTCCTTCATAGATCTCCTCATCCTCGCCAATCTCTTCGTCCCCCCACCGGTCCTCAAAGTCCTCGGCATCTCGCCGCCGCAATTTCTTCGATCGGTACCGGTCCCCACTTGCCTCCTCGCGACTGCGATCGCGCTTCCGGCTCTCCTCTTTGTCTCCGCGACTCCGACGACTACCGACATCATCCTTTTCCCGGCCACGGTCCTTGTCTCTCCGACGCCGCCGCTCTCTGTCAACCTCAACATTCGAGGGTCCCAACGACGAGCCAGCAGCATCATCCTCCATATCTAACAGCCTGTACTTCTTCTTCGCAGCCGCATTATCCGCCCCGCGCTCCTTCGGCGGCGCGCTGCCACTACTCGCACTCTTCGCCCCCTTCCCAACCCGCCGATACAGTTCATTGCAGAATTTGCCAGCCTCGTCGGAGCTGATTTCTAGGAACGGAACAAGCTGGTCTTGGAGGGCGCTGGCGGATGTCGCGGAGCTGGCGATTGCGAGCACGAAGTCGATGGCGGTGGAGTCTGACGCATTGGTTAGGCGGAGGAGGGAGTCGGATACAAAGGTGCGGTTGTCGTCCATTTTGGGGTTCGGTTTTTGGAAATGAGTTGATGTTGAAAGAGCGGGAGCACAGAAGAGATAGTCCGGTGTGTTCCTATTTAGTCTTGGTTGCTCGTGCGATGCCTGCGGTGGGCGGTCTTGACGGGCACCTGGATCTAGCACGTATTTGGCATTGCCGCAATTGTCCTTTCATTCAATTTCGGAGGTAATAGAGAGAGTAAGGAAATCCGTGTGGTTTGGGCGAATATTATGAGAGGAGGACCCTAGTGCAGAACAATCCGGCGGAGAGTTGATGGTAAAACAGTGAAGCGCAAGATGGTCCGCGTCGCCGCGGGAGGTTGAACTCCAATGCCAAGACATCGGCAAGTGGCAAGCATCGCTCCGCGAGGTACTCCATCGTACCCGTAACCTGCTCTTACCACGTATGTATATAACTATGAACGATAAAGCTTTATACAATCATGATGCTAGCATTCTAGAGTCGCACATTCAAGACTATCATAAATCACAAGCAGTACTTTGGTATCAAGCCCGCTTGATCACATTTCAGTGTTTTCGTGCTATAGAGACATGTTCTACAAACAAGACAGAATGGGTAAAAAGAAATTCAACAATCCATAAAGGTGGAGACATCACAGCTCAGAAAACAAAAAGTCGAGTGCATCAAATGTAGCCATCATCATTATCAACGCCGATGTCCATAGGTCACAAAAAGGCAAGGAGATATTCGAGTTACACTAACAAAGGAAAAGAAGCAAAGAGAAAGATACAGTTAGCAAACCGGAGCGCCTGCTACATCATTGTCATGGAGATCCTTGCGTAAAATCTCAAGAAAAACAATAAAAATGCACAAACACGGGCTCCCTGATTAAAAAAAAAAAAAAAAGGCCAAAGCCCCAAAGCTGCAAAAAGAAGATTCCAGTCATGCAGAAAAAGAGAAAAGGGAAATCGTGCATTTGCAACAGACAGCTGCGGCATCATCGCTAAGTCAACAGGACATCATCAACAAAGGAAATTCGAAAAGAGTGTGGTAACCCTCGTAGGATTGGCTTGGTCAAAGTTGTAAGACGCAAATCACCCTAGAGGGTGGTCGGTAGTAGAATGAGCAATAAAGACAAGAGGCCTTCTAGCTTGGTCGTAAGAGGATAACATCGAGGGATGAGGTCGCACACTCGCATCAACGCCGTCATTATATGGTATAATAAAGAAAAGCTCCAACTCCATCCAAATGCACTAATATGTCAGGTAGCACTGGTTACACATCGATCATCTCGGCATCTTCTGCGAGGATCTCATCAGCGGGACCCCAGTTGCCCTCGTAGACGGTAGCACCAGCACGACGTCGGTGTGCGGTGAATTGAACGGCATATGTCTCAAGGATCTCGTCGGCCGTGGGT